TAGAAGTCTTCATGAGGAAACTGGACAAGTGTCTTCACCAGGTGCCAGATCCACTAGGCTGTGACGGATATATGTGCCAACGGGCCGCCAGCAGCAACAGCCTGGTTAACCAGGTAAGCACCAGACGAGCCGGGCTCCGGGAATAGAAAAACTCTGGAAACTTATCAAACTCATATCAACGGTAAAGGAAAGGTACGTAAGCAATCCGTCCTGCAAATGGCAGGAACTTACCCAACGAATTACAGTGCGTCAATTTCTGCACGAATTAAGGCGTGATCAAAATTAAAAAAAAAAAAAAAAACTCAACAAAATTAGGTTAATCAAACTACATCTTAAATACCTTATATTTACCTGTGGTAAACAGCTAATAACATTACACAAACAAACGCATTACGTCTGGCAGTGGGGAAGACACTGCAGATTAAAAATAGTTGGAAACCACACGCTCTATGTTCAAGTTGGAAGACGGGTTATTTAGAGACAATTATATTTTATGACACTCAAATTAGTGTATCTAGTAATGTTTTCACCTTCATCTAGAAATAAATCAGAACAACAAATAAAGTATATTGAGGGAGAGACGACACATTTTTCATGAGCGTTCCTAAGTCCGGAGCTCCCACGGGAGCTTCCGTTTCTTTTTTAGCTTGTGGCAACAATGACAACTCCTGAGGCAAATTCCCACACGAGAATACATTGTTGCCAATACAACACATTAACATAAAAAAATTCACTTCAATGTTTTTAGTATTAATTTTTAAACAAATCAAAGAACGTTTAATTACTATTCATGTTTTAATTGTTATTCATGTTTAGTTATTTTAATTCATGTTAACTACTGTTAAAATATTATTTCTTAGTACTGTCGTTCATATTTAATTGTTAAATATGAAGATGTCGTTATGACTGTTCTCGGTCAGGTTCAATAGTAATTTTCTATAATTTATTGCACGAAATAAGAATTAGTGTTGCCTGGAGAAAATATGAAGCTTATTATATTTATTTCAACTCCATCTACTTTAATTCAAACTTTGGCATTAAAATCTTTAAATAATCAGGTCAAAATTCAGACATTTTGTTTCTCCACAACCTCGGCTGGAAACATTACAATTATTTCAGACTGAGCAAGACCAAGAGATTGAACATTTTTCACGGCTCAGGGTCTACCTAGAGTCTACCAGGAGGGTGTTCTGGGGGTCAACGTCCCCCGCGGTCAAGTCCTTGACCAGGTCTCTCAGTCCTTTACCCTGTCTTCCATATATAAACTCTGTATAGAATTGATAATAGCCACTGGTTGGCGACCGTCTTCATCAAATTACAAACATTGTATATATTGTGTTTCGGAGTTTACAAATGACCGGTTCTGGAGGTCACAAGAGAATGATCTCCGGATGAGTCCTCCTAAGTGACTAATGGTGACATCAACCGCTCCCTGTCATAACAAGAGACTCCCTGATGAGTGATGACTCAGAGTATTGTTAGTATCTGACTGTTGTAACTATTTTTAACTTTTAAAATCAAACATCTCTTTCCTTTTAATGAGCTCAAACCGCAAGAACTACAGCGATAAATATTTATCTCACTCGATGAACAAAATATCTATATAAAAAAAAAACTACTAGGAAATCAGCTGATCGGTAGGTAAACATCAAGCAGATGGGCGTCCCCAGCTGCTTGATGAGAGAAATGGGCACAGTCGAGATGAGGGAAAAAAGGAAGATTAGAAAGAGAAGACGGGGGGAGGATGAGTATAAAGAGGAAGTGGGGGAAGAGACAGACTGTGGGGGGAAGAGACAGACTGTGGGGGGAAGAGACAGACTGTGGGGGGAAGAGAATGGATATAGTGGAGAAAATGGGAACACTGAATGGATTTCATCTTAATTTAATCAGTGAAAAACGCTAAACCCACACGGGTTATAGAGCATTTCGGAAACAACGAATGATAAGTGCCTCTCATTCTACGACATAATTTCACTGTGTAGATTTGAAACCAGTTACTGTTGTATAATTTATATGCAAATTTGGATACATAATTCTGATAAAAGTTTCCTATAATTTAAATGTTCGATGAACTATTGTATCATTCACAACGTTTAACCCACGTGAGTCATTCAGAGGCGGACTAAATGAATGTAGGACCTTTAAGTTCTCTCTACATTCCAAAGTCCCTCAGTAGCACATCACTTCAAGGGAGCTCCTGAACGCTGATGAAAGGCACTTCGTCTAACGAACCAGAGCTACCTCCGATTCCTCGGATCAAATCTGACTGCTCGACCACCTTCCACTGTTCAGGAGCTATATGACCTTTACGGGTTTAGGGTTTCCCCCCGGATATAATTTAAGTAGGATAGACCCCGCGAGGCCACAAGCGGTCAAGGCACCTGTGGACACAAGTCAAGAGCAGCACTTCTCGTCTCTCCAACATAAACACAATTACTCTGGGTACAACTCGGCAAATAGACATAATATGCCACATTAATCCAATCAATGTCTCCCCCCTGTCTATACGTTTAATAGTGGTGCAACTGTAACCGGTTTTGTGAGTTAAACTCTTGCAACCAGCCTGAAGCCAAAGTACACAGCAATCACAGCCTAGCCGATCAGGCTCTTTCTGTATAAACTTATGTCTCCTCGAGACCCTTGACTCTTTTATTCTGCATTATTTCTCAAATCTTCTTGTAGAAAGTTGAAGAATCTTCGGCCATGGATGTTGATAATGTTCTTTAATTGTGCCTATGACACCCCCACTTCTCGCACTTTTTTCTCCACTTGCTTTCGTTTCTCTTCTTCCAGTATGTTATATGTTCAGCCTATCCTCCAACTTTTTAGCGTTCCAGAGATAACGAACACTCTAAGATAGTGATTATCAAATGGTATACAATACCGACAGGTTAGTAGATAAGACACATAGGCAACTTTATTCCGAAACGTTTCGCCTACACAGTAGGCTTCTTCAGTCGAGTACAGAAAGTAGGCAGGAGCAGTAAAGATGTGAAGACGATGTAATCAGTCCATCACCCTTGATGGACCTCTCCTTCCGACAGTATTGAAGTTTCAACACTGTCGCTTGATCTTCAGTTAGTTCCAGACTTTGGAACAAAACCTCTCCAGGCTGAGGGACTGACAATATCAAATCTACGACTTCAAGGGTGATGGACTGATTACATCGTCTTCACATCTCTACTGCTCATGCCTACTTTCTGTACTCGACTGAAGAAGCCTATTGTGTAGGCGAAACGTTTCGGAATAAAGTTGCCTAATGTTGCCTATGTGTCTTATCTACCACTCTAAGATAGTATTATGCGCCCAGCTCTGTCAGATGGAAGCCGCCCCTTATAATTTCCTTCTTATGGGTTAATATAATCAATATGGTTAATTTACCTTTTTTTAGCACCCTCTGATTTGCTTGCTTCCTCTTTTCGGAACTCACTCACTCACTCACTCACTCACTCTCTCTCTCTCTCTCTCTCTCTCTCTCTCTCTCTCTCTCTCTCCCTAGAGCGAGTGCTGCTGTTGCCACATTGTATATAGCTTAGTACCTACCATACTGGCGAGGTCATCACTAGCACACACGCAAGCCCAGTCCTTGCCGCAAGCCACACTTACCTGCAGGGAAGACAAAATAAACATTACAGAATGTCATAGGAGGTAAAGTGCAAAACTGAAATATACATCTTTACTATTAACATTAACATAATCTAGAGATTCTATTCTATATTCTGCATTCGTCTTCTCTATTACTAATTTATCCAAGTTTGGTGCTGCTATGCTCTATGTGTATGAACAAAGGGAAGCCAAACCAGAGAAGGGAGAAGAATGAGACTGGAGGAAGAGAAAAGAGTAAGACGGAAGGGAAAGAAGGGAAAAGAGTGAGATGGGAGAAAATGGACAAGATGAAAGGGAGAGAAGGAAAAGAATTAGAGAGAAGGAAGAATAGTGAGAGGGAAGGGGGATACGGGCGAAGTGTGAGAGGAAAGGAAGAATGCTGACAAATGGAGAGAAATGAGACGTTGCAAAACAAAAAAATGGAGTGGTGTGAAGGAGAAAAATGAGAAATATTGGAAAGTGAAAAGTGTGAGAGGGAAAGAGAGAAGTGGGAGAGGGAGAGAGAAGTGAGAGAGGGAAAGGAGAGAGGTGGTGAGAAGGGAGGGAGAGAGAAGGGCTGGAGATGGGGAGAGGGCCAACCATAAGTCTCCATCAGCCACCTGACACCACTCCTCAACAATAATTAATGTGTACATGGAACGAAAAGGAGAGGAGACGACAGATGAAGGGGAGTGAAGGGAAGCGAGGGATGGATTCAGAGGAGCGAGGGGTAGATATTGGGAAGAGAGGGGGCAAATGGAACGGTAAGTAATATGTTACTGTATAATATTCAAGCAAGAGGATGCAAAGGGGGCACTGTAGAAGCATTATCCAGTATTAAAAATGTTCCATTCTAAAACTGTCTATAACTTTTCCGTTTATCAACAACTACTAGGTGAAAAAATAATCTTTATTTTGAATACAGAAGATACAGGATACAAAAGAAAACATACAGCAATAATACATTATTAATAAAAGTGAGAGGCAAATATCTTATAGGTAAGGAGCTCTCTACTGGTTTTTCAATGTTAAACTGAAAGAGAAAACTTTGTCGCCAGAAGCGGATACATACACTGAAGGCCTTGAGAAAAAATGCTTGTAGCCAGAAGCAGCTGATATATACACTGAAAAAATTAAAGACAGTGACAGGGCAAAACAGGATGTATACACTAAAGGCCTTGTGGAAGAAAGTTTACGGCCAGAAGAATACATACACCGAAAACCTTGAGGAACGAATGTGACTAAACAACAGAATACACACACTGAAGGCCTTGAGGAAAAAGTATGTAGCCAGAAGCAGAACACATACATTTAACGCTTTGAGGAAGATAGAAAGTGTGTAGCCAGAAGCGGAATACATACACTGATAGCCTTGAGGAAGACAGAAAGTGTGTAGTCAGAAGCAGGATACATACACTGAAGGCTTTGAGGAAGACCAGGCACTGGATAATCCCTTCCATGGTATCCCCGGCCAGGTTGAAGGAACCACACAGGTTCTTGACACGGCCGGTGAGTCCTCCAGGGCCGTCCACCAGACCTTCGTCGGGGCTGTCGGGGTCCTGATCGTCGGCGGGAAGAGAGAGCTTGGGTCTGATGGAGATATGGTTACCGGAGGGGCGCGAACGTGCACGGGTGGGCTGTTGTATGCCCCCTGCGTTGATGCTCAAATCTAACGGAGAGGTCACCGACCCCCGTCCTGCCCCCGCTAACACCTGAGCAGCGTTCTGAATCCTGATATTGTTGTACCTCGACACCGCAATGCCATTCTCTGCTCCATTAGTCGAAGGCAACTTTCCATTCTGAACTTTGTGACGCCTGAGACTCTCTTCGATGGCACGGTAAGTATGATGGTAGGAAGAAGTAGGCAGACCGTTGATAGTAGAGCCAGAGGTCGGGTGGTCAACGCTACGTTCAACACCAACACCAAACCAGCCCACACGCAGGTCTGCTGCCTCGTGTTCCCTGCACGAACTAATAGCAATGCGAGTGCCATGAGAGTAATTGTTATTTTCCGTAGAGCACTCACTTTCTCCATTAAAATGTGATGTAGCCTGAGTGTATGAGCCCAGAGCAGTGCTTAATGTTCTATGGAGGGGTTCTAGTGGGGTGGTTGCGCAGTTCTGACCTACACAGTTCGCATCAACTTGTGTACTACAAGGCACACGAAAGTCACTGGAGGCGTCAGGGTAGCTAGTGACGCGGGGCACAAGAGACTGTGTGTGGGGGTGGGGGGCTGCCTGGCCCCTCCCGAACTCCTCCACACACGCCCCCTTCATGTGTCCCCCCTCAACCCTCACACCCAGCCCGTGACCTCGGGGCGACGGGGAAGATGACGACGACGACGAAGGGGATGGAGAGGATGAGGAAAAGGCGTGTGAGAACGAGGTAAAGTTTCTGGAAGACGTGACAAAGGCCTTGGATAATGTGGTGAGAGAATTGGAGGAAGAAAGGAAGGCGGTGGAGGAGGATAAAGCAGTGGACGAGGCAAAGTCGGTGGCAGCTGAGACCTGGGGCAGGGGGTGGACCCCTCGAAGAGGAGTGTCCCTCCACACCTCCATGAAATATGTACAGCTTGATGCGTCACATGTCGCACGATATAGAAACACAAATTATCACGAACACTATTCACTTCTCAACACTATTTTACTCCTTAGTAGCACTAACCACTTCGTCAAAAAGCTAATCACTTCTTTGCAACACTAATCACTTCCTAAGATTACTATATCACGCAACAGCACTATTATTTAAAGCACAGGTGAATCTTAATATCACTCTTGTTTCAGGTATTTAATTAAAAATATACATACTTTCCTTAACTGTAAAATAACAAGCAATACCTGCTCGCTATCGGTGAAGTTCAATACATACTTTGAGATTCACTGAAAATGTGGTTTTCAATTTTTTTCATGCAAGAAAATCCACTTGATTTCCTTAAATTCTGAAAGTTCAATACAGTAAATTCTAGTGCCTACTGGTGGCATTTCGAAGATTATACATTCTTAAAAAAATCTGTAAATATGAACTATATATAACTTGAACAGGATCATTTTATCAGTTATGAAAGTTTGAGCTGAAAAATACTGTATCATTCACTCTAGCACCCACACACACACACCACCCATTTTTTATTTTTAATTTTTATTCTTTTCTCTTTTCCTTTACTTATGTTAATTTGATGTTTAGCATGTGTGTGTGTGTGTGTGTGTGTGTGTGTGTGTGTGTGTGTGTGTGTGTGTGTGTGTGTGTGTGTGTGTGTGTATGCATATACCACGGAAATAAATGGTATCAAATACCGACACAGTGGAAATATAAACACATATGCAGTATAATGTGATTCTTTATTGACAACGTTTCACCCACACAGTGGGCTTTTTCAAGTCACACACAGATCTACCTGGGGTGGATCCCGTACCTTCCACCCCAGGTAGATCTGTGTGTGACTTAAAAAAGCCCACAAAGTGGGTGAAACGTTGTCAATAAAGGATCACATTATACTGCATATGTGTTTATATTTCCATACATATACCACAATGAATATTTTGGCAAATTTTACATTATGAATTAATTAATAAATTTACAAAGAGTATCTAATATCGGATTGAATTCTCAAGTCTTAAAACATTAGTTTACAGAAAAAAGTATCATAAAAGGCTAAAAATAGTGTAGCTCTTAAGCTCCAATTTAATTGCAAATAATAAAAGACTATATTTAACCGTAACATTAACGAATTACTGTTTATAGATACACACAATATTTTTTCATTTCTTAGCCAATAATGTGTCTGAAAACACGAAAATTACGACTACTTAAATATAAAAAGTTCAGATTAAATGTGTTCTGAATAATACTGTATATACTCGGAAGTCTATAACAACAAACTAAGTGACAATAAAACACAAAAAAGAAAGTGCATCAATAATGAAATAATAAGTGTATATAATACTATTTACATTCACTTATAAACATCAGTTACTTCAGTTATGTTTGCTCGTACACAAACTACAGACTAAGTGAGATATCCATGGACAAGCACTTCCCTTGCCGAGTGCTTGTCCGGGTGCTGGCCACTGACTGGTGTAGAGCCGGGATTCAGCCAAAGCCGTTATTCTTGGAAAACATAGCCCTACTTGCCGACATTCACACATTCCAGAACAAACGTACGTTAGTTTGATAGGAAAGCGACAAGAACATCGAAAATAAATTGGTAACCTGAGAGAATAATAGTTTCGGTGAGTAATTCGATCAACAGTTTCGTAAACTACAGAGTGGAAAGCGTAAAGGCTTCATAAATATAACGACAGAACACTAGAGCAATTAACCATATTCACGTGAAGTCTAGATTCAATAGCGCGTGTGTGGGCCTAATTGAGGGGGAGGTCGCAGTAGATACCTCGATTATTTTTACTATGAAAATACATTTGCAGCATTATACATACAAATTTCACTTTGAATATCACCAAAAGTCTACGATGAAAGCCAGCCGGGTTTAACTACCTTGATAGAGCTAGGGACAAATCGTTGTGTTGGTATTTCTGGGGATAATCTCCTGGAGCACTCACTGTAAGTCAGTCTGCTTTTGTCTACGACACTCAGACTGGCTGTTAAGGAATGGCTGAGATATCTGTCAATCTCCTTGTCAATTATAGGGCTATCAAAAATTTTATTTAAATAGCTGTGTTTAATTATCTTATAGGTTTTATATATAACATCCTTACTTGTCAGTGAAGTGTTGTGCAGGATCTATCATGCCTATAGCTTCCTTAAGGGTTAATTTCAACGTGTAGATTTAGACAGTTTCTTCAGGGCTTTTCAAATACAAATTATAATACATTTTTCTGGGGTGTACCCCAAGCAGTGCTTTGAAGGTCCTAGGCTGTTCAGTAATTTAGGCATTTCAATTAATGAGGGCAGTGGAAATTCTGTGTAAATTCGTCAGATAAGCAATTTCGCCTGATTATGATCGGGTAGTGCTCTGAAGAATATCAACGACAGCTCAGCATCTCTTGTTTCTGAGGTTCGTTTTTTCTCATCCTATGCTTGCCGGTTTTGATACTAACTCTGTAACGTTCTTTGAAAGTAGATTGCGTTTTCGAGAGAAATACGAAGCATTTAGAAACAATTATTTTACATCAACATAAATATGTGACCATTGTAAATAAGATTATTTCACATATTTATAAAACAGACTTGCGGATTTATTCACCTTTTAATAAACGTAACTCAACAATCCTGAGCCAAGCGAGACCACGTGCGCCTTGGCGTCCAATTTGCTAATTTGATTTTCAATTGAAAACAAAAAGTCGTCCGTCAAAACGCATATGCAAACAAAAACATAGATTCTTTATATCCAAAATTTTTCTTTACTTTTGAAATGCAATTTTTCTTTAAAGTTTCAGCAAGTCATCAATTAGGAGATAATAAAAGCTGCACTTATAAAACCCACTCTGAAAACTGTCCCACTCCCTTTCTTACATCCTCTCGGCTAATTAACTTCCCAACTGCGATTTGCAAAATAATTTTAGTAATTAGTCCTAGAGCTAATCAAATATCCCAACTGTGACTGGAAAAGAATCTTGTTGACATCAAGAACGTTGAGTTACTGTGTTAAGCTGAGCTCTTCCAACTTCCTCTGTGACATCAAGAGCGGAGAGTTACTGTATTAAGGTTAACGTTTCCAACTTCCTCTGTGACATCAAGAGCGGAGAGTTACTGTATTAAGGTTAACGTTTCCAACTTCCTCTGTGACATCAAGAGCGGAGAGTTACTGTATTAAAGTTAACTCTTCCAATTTCCTCTGTGACATCAAGAGCGGAGAGTTACTGTATTAAGGTTAACTCTTCCAACTTCCTCTGTGACATCAAGAGCGGAGAGTTACTGTATTAAGGTTAACTCTTCCAACTTCCTCTGTGCCATGAAGAGCGGAGAGTTACTGTATTAAGGTTAACTCTTCCAACTTCCTCTGTGACATCAAGAGCGGAGAGTTACTGTGGTAAGGTGAGCACTAACTTCCACTGTGGTATAAGGCTGATTTAGTACAGGATGGCTGTGTTTATACTATTCTTCAAATAATAAATAACGCATATATTCTCTTGCCATACACAGTATATCATTAAACAACATCTTTGGTTAAAATGTTATAATTAATTTCACAAACGTGATTATTATTACATTAGAAACTAACATAAAAAGTATTTTATTATTTATCAAGCTCCTGACACGTAAGTTTTGTAATTTATAAAGAGATAACACACACTCTCTGCAAGTAGTAAAACTGAGGCTAAACCACCAGGAGAAGCCCGACATCTATTCTCGGCGAAGCCTCACCATAAGTAGTGAAAAATGCTAAATTTCAATTTCAAATACACTCAAAAACAAATTGTTTCACTGACAGCCTCTATCGAAAATACACGATAAGCACTCACAAGAATACTATCAATATTTTTTTCCATTATATATATATATATATATATATATATATATATATATATATATATATATATATATATATATACTTGCGATTATATATATAATACCTGCGATTTTGACCTAAATAGCAACGTTCTTCTTGCCGAGTAGGGCAAGCGAAAATTTGTATATGCAATAATTTTCTTTATTATTAAATTATTGTAAACTTATCTAAAATATTTTTAGCTGGATTATGCTACATTAAATCGCGTTTGTTATAAGGTTAGGTAAGTTTCCTAATGTTCTTTTGGTACAAAATTATTAATTTTTACATTAAATTAAAAAAGTATATCTTTAAACGTATAAGAGAAAATTTTAGACAGGACTTAATTTTAAATGAGTTCTTGCTATCTGACCAGTTTTACCTATTCGGCACGACACACACACACACACACACACACACACACACACACACGCGCGCGCGCGGGCACACATGTGTGTGTGTGTGTGTGTGTGTGTGTGTGTGTGTGTGTGTGTGTGTGTGTGTGTGTGTGTGTGTGTGTGTGTGTGTGTGTGTGTGTGTGTGTGTGTTTACATATACAAGCAACGTCGGTGACTAGCTCAGCATGACCAAATACAATTTACGAGCGATTTCCATTTTAATTCTATATTCAATCATTAAAACTTTGTCAAGTCGATAATTAAAATTTTGATGTAACGGAAAGTTAGGGCTCGACCGATACACCTAAATTCCTCAACTCAAACTTTCAGTTGGTTTCCAATAAATTATTTCTTAAGGAGTAGCGCCAATAACACGGGCCGAAAATTATTTGTCAGTAGGTCGGTGATGCCAAGTAATGCATCCGAAGTTTGATTCCCTAGAAATATGTTTTGGCTGGGATTAGAAAAGAAATATTTCCCAATATGCAAATATAACTCACGTGTCAATATGTCTGGCTAGAACTCTCTGGCTTTAATGATGAACTTAAGACACATGTGCAACATCTAAGTATCTTCACTATATAGACGTTTCGCCAACCAACTGTTTTATGCTCTGTTATCTACTTGTGACCGATTTCAAGGGTTTGACCTGAGACCAGTTTCCTACTGACGGGAATATGTTGTACCAATATATATATATATATATATATATATATATATATATATATATATATATATATATATATATATATATATATATATATATATATATATTCTTTTAGCCTATCTCTAAAGGGTTTACCTGGTACTAGCTTAGTGGGGAAGGGAATCAGAAGTCTGTCTAGGGGTGGAGGTCTGAAAGGATTCTAGGGTCTTTCCTCCCAGTGTGATTGGGTTAAGGCAGTGGTTCCCAAACTGGGGGTAAATTACCCCCTGGGGGTAATTTAACCATTTTTGGGGGGTAATGGAGGGGTGACAGAAAAAAAGTTATGAATTCTGAAAATCAAGAAAACAATGCGGTACCAGGTATGAGGATTATTGTTAACTTTATCTTAGTATATAAAGTTGCAAAGTAAACCTATTATAAGTAAGTAATAAAGTTAAACCAAATAACAA